CTATATAAGTGTAAGCAATTATTATAATTAATATTATTATGATTATGACTCTTCTTGTTCTTCTTATGTTCTTATGCCTGTCTCATGAAATAAAGCACATGTGTGCACAGACTGGGCAGTGAATACCGCAATAAATTATAATCTTGAAATAAAATCCAGAAATGCAGTAGAGTTGAACTTCTAGATGTTGATATATGATTTACTCATGAGTTTCTGAGAAAACTGTACTCATTTCAAATCCATGTTAATCACATATTTTCTTTCAAGACAATCTATACTTTAGCATTCCTTTGCGTTTTATACATACAATTCCTGATTGATTAAAAAAAACTTCTGTTTTTAGCTCTTAGCTTTGATGTCTTTACTCATTAACAACTTTTGGGAAATCAGGCTCCGAGTGCGTACTCCATGCTTTGAGACTGAATATTTGATGTTGTGCTGTATATCTCCCTGTCTTTGACTTCACATGACCAAATGAGATCACGATTTCTCGTACTTTAAAGCACATTGCTTGCTAGTCAGGTCATGACTAACTGCCTCCTCTGCCAGTAAGAATTTCACTGTCGCAATTCTTATTTGGCAGAAGAACAGACCTTGCGCTGTTCTTCAGAGGTGCTGAAAATTGCCCATATGAAGGCTTGCCCATGACTGAGGACTAGCTCAACGCTTGTTCGTGTGAGATGAGTATTATGACAGTGCAGTGTTAACATGTGTCATTGTTTACTGACATTTCCAAAACAGCAACATGACAAGAAATGTCTCAAGGGGCCTGCACCCTAAAACAGAACAGAATACGTGTTGGGATGTGATGGAATGAAAAGCTTACCTCAGCTGTTTTTTCTTAAGAAAGCATTTTTTTTCTTTTTCAAATTTTTTTTCTTCCTCATAAAGCAGCATGGATGAGCAAATGCACCTTTGCGGACTAACGCAGAGTCACAGCAGGGGAAGAGAGTTTGAGTTGACACCTTCAGGACTGCCCCTATTCCTCTTTGTCACTGACACTGTTTACATTTTTTGTTGCTCCTTCTGTTGTTCTTCCAACGTTTTGTGTTTACACTCTAGTCTACTTCTTAAACATTGCATCGCTATGGCAACTAAGGAAATACACACACACATACACACAACACCAGATCTGATAAAATCATTCCTTTCAAATATTTCACATAACTATTGTACCTATTTATATATGTTATTATGTGAAGTTGTCTTCTTCAATGCATGCAGTTAAAAAAGAAAAAAAAACGTACATTTTTTATTTTTTTTTAAGTACATTGGAATGTAATAATAAATTATATTTGAAATCAGTTTTTGTTTCCCAGTCTGCATCTTTCCTTAGAATAGTTCCATAGCTTTGTTCTGTTTTTAAACTGTTTTATGACCTGAAGGTTGGATTCTATTGCAGAAAAAAGAGGTAAACTGTCCCCATTGGTGATTTCAATTTTTTGCACTTTATAAACGTTTCTCAACCCCACTCAGCCTTGATCACTCATTAAAGAAATATACACAATTTTCATCACTACTATAATGTTGGCACACTACAAATGACATTAATAAGTATCGATCATTAAAGAAGATTTGATTAATGCTTACAATTCACTGAGAAAGATTTGAAATTGCCTAGTTTGGTCTTTTCACAATCAACACAGGAAGAAGTCAACTACAAGTAATAATCCCAGTGCCATTTATTTTAATTTGTTCTGACATAGCTTGTGTGAGATGTTTTTTTACTGTAAGAACATTTGAACTGAGCAAGAATTCACTGGATCCATCTTATGTGTTTGATTATTCTTGTCACCCGCATTAATGCCAAGTTACCCCTTTGTTATGAGCCTTAAATGCACTCACTTTTGGGTGTCAATTATCACTTATGTCCACAGCTATTATTGGCATTGTAGTCCTTTAAAGTGACTAGTTTTAATATGTTTGAGGACTGTAATTATGTTCTTCCGTAAGGACTGTAATTACCCTTCTGTATTGTATGAACTTTATCCCCTCAACCTCTTCCATTTACACCAGTAAAGATTCAGGTATATTTGCTTGCCTACACAAAATACCTGTTTAACATCAGAAATAACAGTGATTTATTCAATAATTATTAATACATGTAACATCAATTACCTTTCCCTTTCTTTCTATATCTTCTACTGCTACAGCTTACAAATGTGAAAAACAAAACAGTGGAAGAGGGAATATGAAATTGAACACGACTGCATGAAATTCTGTTTCATTGTTGGTTTTGAGTGCTTTTTCTCTCTCACACATACATCTTAAGGCAGTGGGAAAAACAGTGTGTGTTGCTTGAGTGCTACCTGGATTACATCATTATGATCTCATCTCAGAGGCAGCTTATCACTCTAGACCTGTAAGAACAGGCTGTGTTCCTTCATCTCTGCTTAACCCCATCTACAAAATGTTAGGCAAGTGGACGTGCTGAAATTGGAGTACTGTATGTGCTCTTAAAACAAAAGACTTTCCTAGATGGAGGTGACTTTGGTACCACCAGCCATATCACCCTACAACTCACAACTGGCAGCCCCCTGATGCTAAGCAGGTGTGAGCCTGGCCAGTACCTGGATGGGAGACCTCCTGGGAAAGCTAAGGTTGCTGCTTGAAGAAGTGTTAGTGGGATTAGTAGGTTGTGCTTACCCTATTGTCTGTGTGGGTCCTAATGCCCCAGTATAGTGACGGGGACACTATACTGTAAAAAGGCGCCATCCTTCAGATGAGACGTAAAACCTAGGTCCTGACTCTCTGTGGTCATTAAAAATCCCGGGGAGTTTCTCTAAAAGAGTAGGGGTGTTACCTGGTGTCCTGGCCAAATTTCCTCCTGGCCTTTACCAATCATGGCCTCCTAATAATCCCCATTTATGAATTGGCTTCATTACTCTGTTCTTCTTCCCACTGATAGCTGATGTGTGGTGAGCATACTGATGTCACATCATCCAGGTGGATGCTGCACATTGGAGGTGGTGGAGGGTAGTCCCCATTATCTGTAAAGCACTTTGAGTGAAGTGTCCCTAAAAGCTCTATATAACTGTAAGGAATTATTATTATTATTACCAGCAAAACAACAGCCTTCAGAAAAGATACCTTCTGTCATTATGAAAGTCAATATTTGCTCGCATGGTGAGCTGCCAAAAAAAATACTTATTTAATTCTGTCTTGTGTATCTCTAGAGATACACTGTACTACAGAAATTAGATTAAAAGCAAGGTTTTGACTTTGGTACATAAACTACAGTCTTACCTTTTAATTTTGTACTGTCTTGATCATCTGAGTTGCTGTCATAAAACCTGTTGAAAGCCTCGATTCTATGTTCATCCAAATCCTCTTTCTTCAGTGCTTGTGCCACCTCAACAGTTTGATACTCCTCTGTGTCTTCTCTATCACCCTCCCAGGGACTCACAAAGCTCTGTGCAGTTGTGAAGAGCTGTGCTTCCTCCTTACAATCTGGATATATCTCTGTCTTAAGTAATTTGTAGGCAGTCATCTGCTCACTTCCAAGGAAGATTTCCCTTTCTTCCTCAGATGATGTCATATCCACTTGGGGAGTCACCATATCCATTTTCCTTTCTTTCCATAGGTTATCCAAGTCACTGGACCTCAGAGACATAGGATTAAAATCTGTTGCACCAGCCTGGATGTCTTCCACAATGTTGCCTTCTAGAATATCTTGGCCCCTTAATGAAAGCCCATATGCACGTTCCTTAGGTTCATTTTCAACACTCACCTCTAATGGTGGCATTATTGTGAATGGCTGAAAGGTCAAGTTGCCCACATACCGTGGTTCCAGCATCATTCTGGAGCCTTTGGATGTGAAATCTTCTGTAAGACAATTTTCATATTCAATCTCTTTAGGGTTCTGTGCCTCATTAAGTCTGCTTTCCAGTTCTTCATCTGCATCTGCATGTTCATGTAAAGAAAAAGCCACTCTCACTGGCACATTATCGATGCTAGATGGATTTGCCATGAAGATTCTTATTTTTTCCTGATCATTTTCATCTACTTCACTTTCTTGAGACTTCACCTTTTCAAGTTCTGCTTCACCTTCTTGGTAAGAAGCTTCAGGGTTAGATCTTTGTGTTACAGCTCTCATGATATCCCCTGGGACCATCTTGAATTCCTCATCTGTTGTGTGATCACAGGCATTCAAATCCTTAGCCAAATCTCTGAGCTTGTGCTGCTGATTCTCTTCTTCTTCCACCTCTTTAAACTGGCAAGGATCTCTCTGGTTTTTGATAGTGGCACTCTGCATTTCATCATCCAGAATGGAACCGATCACTGAACTTTCAATGTTCAAGAAAAGTGTTGGTTCTTCTCCTGAACTCTCAATGATTTCAGTTTGTTTGATACTTTCATTTGTGTAATTATCTACTTCTGTAACATCCACTTGAGAAACCTCTCTGTTATCCTCTGTTGTTATTGGATGTTCATATTCCTCAACAATAATTCTGAAAGGTTCTACTGGAACTCCTAGAGTGAGATCTGTGGAAATAAACTCAATATCTCTACTATCTACACCATCTAAATTACTTTGACCTTCTAGCCTTTCCTCACCAAGATCTTCCAAAGGAAGTGCCCGTTCATCATCTGAATTGCAAGAATCCAATACTTCTTGCTTTTCCTGCTCCCCTATGGCTCTTTCCTCATCGAAACAAACCCCCTGATCTTCCTCTGAGCTCTCCTCTACATCTTCTTTACTCTCATCTGAGGAATCAGGCATTTCCTCGTCATTACGTACCCCACACGTGTCCTCTCCCATGTTCACTTCAGTTTCAGTGTCCCCCTTGTCCTCTTCCTCCCCCATTAGGTCTGGAAAGTACTCTGCATAGCCTTCTCCAGCTCCCCCCCAGTCCTCAGAAAATTCATTCAGGTCTCCTTCAAAATGCGGCATTACTAGTGGTTCTTTGGATAGCTGTGGTCCCACCAAGTCCTCTGTCTGGTCCTCCTCTGAAGAATCAGTTTTGCCTTCACTCTCTTCCAGCTCCTCCGATTCAGAGCTAATATCAGCAACAGCATTTTCATTAAGCTCTTCAGGGGCTGCTTCATCAGGTTTATCAAAGAAAGCAGGCAGGTCTTCACTATCATTCTGAATGTTTTCACCCAGGCCTTCTTCTTCTAAGGGCTTCCTATTTGGGACCAAAGACAAAGCCCATTCATCTTCCCATTGGTGGACTGAAAGACATCTCCCACTGTCACTTTCCTCCTCCTCCTCTTCCTCTTGCTTGGGGTTGTTGTTGGCAATGTCCTCATCTCCACTTTCTCCCTCCACCTCCCGGTCATCTGAAAAGGTGCTAATCTCTCCCCCCTTGTTGTGGGTGATGTCAGCATTTCTCCAATTCTGTTCTCTGTCTGTCTTGACATTATGAGATAGACTGCCTGGTTCTTCTTCCTCTTCATCCTCCTCTGTCAATGCTGGTAGCTTCTCAAAGGCATCATCATCCTCCAGACTACTCAAGGGCTTGTAATCTGTTTCCTCCTCTGAGTAGGAGGTCATATAGGACATTTCTGTGAAAGATAAGGTTTAAATAATTAGGGATAACAAAGTTTTGCAGGGTATAACCTAATTAAAACATGGTGAGAAAATACATCTCATACAAAATGAAGGAAAGTGAGATGTGCTCATGAGAAAATGTACAGAGCATCATTTGCAAATATTATTTGATATATATAAATTATATAAATGTCATTCCTTATCTTATGTGATAAAGAAACTTATCATTCTATACATATATAGGAATCAGGTTGCATGTTTTGGCATTGTTTTGAACAATTTAAGACTCGTGACTGACCTGATTGTGAGCTGACCCCCCTCTGAATTTATTCTTTCTGATCACAGCCCACATATTTTTATCCCATGGTTTACAAGAAGTATATAAACTGACAGTTCAGACATTCACTGATACTTCTTACCCCTCTCAGACAAATTTAACAGAAAGGTTTAAAAAAACATGAAGACATATGCTTGCATCTTTTGTTGGGAACCAGCACAAGAAATGAAACCAGTATCTACCTGATTTTTGCTTTGCTATCAATTCAGCCATACAAGGATTTACAGGCTATTCTCCTACAGAACTTGATTTAAAACAGACCCTCTTAGGTCCAGTGGAAAAGACAAGGTGTATTGTTAATCCAGATATGTCTGCTTAAAACATAATTGTCTATATAGACCATATGCATGAGCAGATCATGAAAATCTTACTTATCATTATTATATTTATGTATATATTGTCAGTGAGTCATTAAACTTATACCAAAACTGCACTTTTATCAGGTTTTGCTCCTTTCTTCTTTTACAAGATGACATCCATTCAGAAGATACAGTCTTTCTTCAGGCCTGGTTAGATGAAGTGGGGTTTTTTTCTCAATAAATCAAACAATTGGACCAATTAAGTGAGTTCAGACATTGGGAAGAAAGTCAAACAGTGTGGAATTTAGATTAGCATTTGCCATGATTATTATTTTTGTGAAAGGAACTATAATAGATAGCAATTTTGTGTTTTGTATTTAGCTCTACTGAAATACAGTATTATTTCAGTTATATATTACAGTTTTACTTAACGCTGTCTAAAAGTATTTGCTGTGTTATGAACAAAAAAACGTACATAAATTGAAATCACTTTTAACCTTTTCAATGGTTAGAAGCTTATATTAAATAAATAAGAATAATTGGAACAGGATTAATATATATATATAGCTATCTTGGCCACAGTTATTTACTAGAGCATTTTGCATTATATCTACCTTTAACATTAAATATTTTTCCACTGCTTGCGAGCAAAATGTGTTACTTATAGCTTTGTCAAAGTCTTGTGCAATGCTAATTTGTTTTCCCTCAGGACTCTTACAAGTCTTCCCATTGCACATAACCAATTCAGAAAGTCATATAGTGTACTGTAGGCTTAACTTGCACACTTTAGCAAAAGGGAATGGGAGACGTACGAAATGAGAGAACAGCAAATCATTCTCAAGCAACAGTAAACCATGACCATCTCCTGAGTCTCTAAACTGGCCAGTGATTGTAAAAACCCGATTTGTTCGAAATGTCAGAGCTTCTTCTGGGGGAGGGAGGAAAATGGTTTGACCGTGGCCTGGGTGAGAGCCAGTGCTGTTCCCAGTCATTTCCCCGGGTTGTGCAAGAAACAGGCTTGCTCTCTGGCACTGTTCCAAGGCCTTGGGGGGCGGGTGGTTATGATTCCTGATTAATTTAGGCTGTCTGCACTCCAGTGTCTTTGCTTCTCTGCTTTCCAGATTCCTCATGCGCAGTCTCATATTACACAAGTCGAAGCTCAGTTCAGCTCTGAGGAGAGAAAAAGAGAGATTGCCCTCTCACGCTGCTTAAAAACCCCATCCCTGTGACATCCTCTAGTTTTTGACTCCTCCATTACTCCTTTTTTGTTCTACATCTATTGTCAATCAGTTTCACCAAGCAATTTGTCGTAATACATGTCATCCTAACTTGTTTATAAGCCGTGAAAATCCTTTTTGAGGTTGAGGTGCAACAAGTGGGGCATTACATCCTTCTGGGTGGTATGTTTGATTTCTGTACAGTATTGAAGCAATAAGTACTGACTTTCTATCAGACACCACACCTCATCATGGCTTAAGTTTTGTGAGGATAATGTGTCTAGTATACAATACCTGCAACACACTGAGATAAACTACTGTACTAGGAAAACAATCTCATGGCCACATTACAAGAAGGAAGAGGTCCAGCAGTCTAGTGTCAGCTGATTCAAAAGGAATGAAAACAAAAGGCATTGTGTCATATTAAATTGCTTCCCCCAGACACTTCCTGTCATTCTTTTCAGAAAGTGTTTGTGCTGTAATAGTTCACTGACCAGGTAAACAGCAATCTAAGCAGAGGTAAAGAGAGAAAATGATGCTGTGTGTATATACAGTATATATGACAGCCGAAAAACAAAATGCCAAAATGCAAAATTACAGACAGAAACAAACTGTGAAAATAACTCAGTTAATTAGGCTGTCCAGGTTTTCAAACCTTCAGACTAGGACACAGACACATGGGGTCATTAAGTCCATTTGTCACTATTTCAAAACAAAAATAAAACTATTATTTTTTATGACATAATAGTTACCATAGTGAATTATTTGCCATTCAACAGAGCAGTTTTCTTTTTTTTTAATTTGAGAGAAAGTTATCCTCTCAACAGTGTGTAGACAGCAGATTAACATTTCAGTAAAAGCATGTATTTTCAGTCCCAGTATAGTCAAAGCAGCAGTGTCAATGTGTCTAGAACAGAGTCAATGAGACAATGTGTCAAGCAGCTCCAGGAAACTGGAAATGTTATGGATAATCCTAAAGGGAAAAGTCAGCAATGCATATCCGTGCATTTTAAACCTAAAGTAATGGGGGCAGAATCTGTTTGTAGGGAACAATGTTATTTTTTCTAATGCTAATGATTTGGAGGCTTTGATCACTGTTGATCTAATAGACACACAGAACATTTCTTTGCCCTGAACCTTAGCTGAAATAAAGCTACCTAATGTCCTGCTAAATGTCATGCTAGCTTTTCCACTTTTAGACATTATACATTTTCTAAATTTACTACAACAGTACTTAATAAGGGACTAAAGTTGATTAATAACGGTTGTTTTAGAAATTCGGTTATGAGTTACGATTCAATTATGTGTAACATCTTTGTTTAGCATATTTTGTCTCACAAGAACACAGTCCAGACTGAACCAAAGCCACACACTATTGAATATTTTCGTGAGGGTATCAGTGCAGGTTTTCTATCTGAATTTTTTCATTTGTTGCCAAATCTGCTTTTCTTGAATACAGTCAGATTTTTTAAGATGCTAGATTATAAACAACTAGTTCAATTTTTAGTTTTTAGTTACAATTATATATTTCCTTTCTGGAAACATTTATTTTATGGGGAATTTGGTTACCCTAACAGAAGTCTTTCACCTTTCCAGATGGCCTAAGATATATAAAGACTTCCAATTCAAAGGAAAGTGACCTACATAGCTGAGGACATCTCTATCAGTTCTGCCTAAATAGCTGAATTATACAGAAATAGGAATAGAGTTTGGTTCCCCAGCTCTTGTGATGATCTTAATAAATATTTACCCAGCAGCTCTGTTCCGGAACGCTGTTGTACGGATTAGGAGATCACAAGAGACATTTGAATTCTTTCCTCAGATGCTGTATTAGGTAACAGGATTTCATTGTCTCCAGGCTAGGATTCAATAAACAGTAATTTGCCTCTATGGGAGCAGACACTACACTGTTTAAAAATTTCTTTCAAACTAGAAGAGAGATTTCCTCGGGCTTCGTCAAGACACACCTAGATTTTTCTCTTTTCACAGGAAGAGTGTTTGATGTGTCTATCTAACTGAATAGTTGGCAGCTTATCTATTATCTACTATTACTCCTATGTCAGTGCTGACTGAAAAGTCCATTTTTCTAAAACATACATTGTTCTGTATATCCACAATTTAAACTGTACTGTTTTTGAAGTAAGAATGAAATTTACTCTCTCAAATATTTTCTTTTAATATTTGATACATACTGTACTGCACAGTAATATATCGGGTTTAAATTTACTTCTTTCCTTACTTGTTAACTTCTATAAAAGTCTACCAGGGGTAACATGGTAAAAATGAGTACAGACTCAATTTATAATTTGAAACTGGCAAACATTTTCATATACAGTAATTTTTAGGCCCTCCCTCTAACAGCAAACTCCAAATCCAGAAGACCTGGCTTTCTATTCTCTAGTGAGAAAACACCAGGTTTCTACTGCAGACATATTCAGCTGATATATGATAAAAATGCCACTTGGAACAGCTAAGCACACAAGACATTACCAACCCAGAACTAAGAAATGGTATCTTTAAATAATCAATAACTAAATAAAGTCCAGTCATAACTGACTAGTTTCAGGAACTGAGTGAGCCAAGGTTTCTAAACCTTGAAATTTCTACCTCCCCCTTTTGCAGTGAAACATTTGCTCTGGATTATACTTGTTGTATGATCTCATACGATTACAAGCATTAAAAGTAAATGAAAAATTACAGCGTTAACAAGGGACTCCCGTTGGGTTTGAGGTTTTTTTTAAAGCCTGATGGTGCCCTCTCGTGGTAAGATGTAGTATTGCATACTAAACCTTTCCAAGGAGAAGAAGGGCACATAACATAGCAGACATTCAAATCAACTGAACTATTAAAAATACTGCTTATTATATGTCATGATTTTATATATTTAATTTAATAATCTTAGAGATTTTTATTGCAATGGCTGTGGACTCCAAACTGCCCCAAACATATTTTGTCACCTGACACAAAACCTGACAATAGATCACCCCAGATTAAAATTTTCCCAATAACCAATTTTACTCTCATTAATAGCATCACCTTAACTGTGTCATTTCCGGACCTGTTGTAGCAGTCCAGCAGTGCTGTTTAAAGTTTAGGTTATTAATATTAACACTATTAATTTGTCTATTTCGGGATACTTGGTTAAACTAGGAACAGCAGCATTGAAAGCAATATCTTAAAAGCATATCCTCTTTTCAGCTTCATGGAATCCCTGGAATATTATAATATCCTATGTGGTATTCAGAAAAGAACAGGACATCAGTCAGAACATTTAGGTATAGCAAATAACAGAGCTTGAAGAACTAAGCACATGTAGTGTTTGGGGAGGATAGGTAACATTAAGTACTGCTTAAATATTCTACTGGTGTTTTATATTTACAGTAGGTTTACTGCTCAGGTGCATAATTCGCCCCAGGTTTGTCTCCAATATTACTGAATTGGAATAAGATGCTTTGAATCTCCTACCAATAATGACAAAAATGATAAAGAACACATTAATAATGAAACTAATACATTTTAAAATGTCACTATCTTGTTTTACGGGATCCCAAAAAACAATTATTTTGTCAGTTTAATAATAATACAATTGCACCAATAATGCAGAGGTTTTCAGTACTAGTACAATGTAATAATGTTGTAATAATGATGTGAATAATTAAATAACACTTACCGGAAGAAGAAAATGCTTGACTGAGAAGATCTTCCAAATCTTTCTCCATTTTATATCTATTGGTGACAAAAAAAGAAAACATCAATCAAAAGGAAGAAACACACATACTCACTTTTGTGTACAGTAATTAGTTTGGCTTTTTCTCAATCAAATATTTCACATTTTTCTGTTAGGATCATTGATTAGTCTCCACTATTTTTTACTGTTAATTTGAACTCTGACTGAAACTCTGATTTCACCTCCTGTTCTCCTGTTGATGTTGCTCATGGATGAGTGCTCGCCCAGGTGACTCCACTGGGCAAGATCTCCTGGGTGCTATAGCACCCATGTCATTAGCTGACTACCAATGGAATTCCCCTTCTAGGCAGCACACAGTGTGGACGGGTAAGAGGAGGGGGAGAAAGGCATGCTTTTCTTACCATGACAGCAACCCATGTGAATGAGCAGGTGACTGTGGTAAAGTTTACCATTAAAATGGCCCATCAAGGCAGGAAAATCCATCCATCCATTTTCTAACCAGTTCTACCAGTACAGGGCTGCGGGGGAGCTAGGAACTATCCCAGCAAGCAACAGGCACAGGGTGGGGTACACCCTGGGTGGGACGCTAGACCACTGCAGGCCAGACACAGACACACACTCACATCAGGGCCAGTTTGTACAGAAGCCAGTTACTGTACCCTTGTATTATCCGATTTTGGAAAGAAACTGGAACAACAGGAGGAAGTCTGTTAAACACGAACATACAAACTCCTTGCAGACAGCACCCCAGGTCCAGAATGGAACCCAGGGCCCCAGCACTGCGAGGCAGCAATGCTGACCACTGTACCTACCAGGCAGAAAAAACACCACACTGAAATATAAAGTGCCCAGTTTGGCACCTTAATGCTGTGAAAATGTTTTACTCATGAACCGCTGGTAATAAAATGGAAGTTTCAATTTGAGTTTTACTGTTGTTTAGAAAGCCCGACTTTTATATTTTAATCGACTTTCTGTGTGAGCACCAGTTTTCAGTCAAATTTTCCCTGCTTATATATGCAACTGATGGATCCTGTTTGCAGCAACAAACAATAATTAAGTTAATCAGTGCAACAGCACTGATTTATAACTACTGACGTGTACCAGAGAACAGAATAGGAACAACTACACCCAGACGGAACAACCCAGACAGGTGATTTTACTACATTGGGCACAGAGAAGAGTCATTTTATTCATTAATTTGTTACTTCAAATGTTAGTAATGGAGAAAAATAATTGTTGCTGTGATGTCATTTGCAGATGTATGCATCATTAGCACTATAATGCTGTTTCTTCCAGGCATTTTGAATCATGTTTTTCTCATAGGATAGCCTGAGAATAAAATGAGAAGAAATATAGTCAGATTATAATAAATCACAATGGCTAGGTTAAAAGTTTATGGGTCTTGTTTGAGTAATTTCCCATTAGTGACCTTTTTGTCCAAAGACTAAAGTACTGTTCAATGTTTATTGCTAGAACACCACTGTTCAAAACTGAGACGTGTTGCATTGAGCAGGTGCTAGCCATGTCCAAAGGACCATATAAAGATAAAATAGGGTGCTAACACATCAATGGCTTGACTGGAACATGATTGAAACTGAATTGACTGTGGACAGACATTAAAATTCCACTGTGATCTGATTCTAATTTAATAATGATATACAGTACAAAACCTAATGACCTGCAATCTTACTTAGCCACTGTCAAGTCTTTACTGCCTTTTGTGGTTAGTCATCCACAAAGCCAACCTTTCATGATTCCAAAACACCTAAATCAATGATTACAGACAATAATTCCATTACAGTTGCACTAGGCATGACTGCAGATGACATGTTCAGAAGATCAGAGCACAATATAAAATGAACCACCAGAGACCAATGCTGAAAAGATCAAAGACTGCACAAGGAAATTATTCATTGATAATAACAAAGGAAGGATAATAACCAATAACAATCACAATAACAAAGGAGATACAGTACATGCCTTGTGAGCATGGTTCCCCACTTTTATTTTATTTTCAACATCAATAGCATTACCTTGGTGCAAATTACAAAGCACAAATATGGAACAAAGCAATTTATGAGACAGTGATAGGCCATTGCATCATTCGCAATATGGCCTGTAAAAGAGGCAATAGCAAAGTTGAATATGAATGACTGGGATAACTTGGGTTTCAGGCACAATTCTCTGTCTTATTTTTTTTGTGGCAGTTTGTAAATAGCCAATACATTGTAAATTATTCCCTGCTTCAGGTAGAAAGTGCTTGAGGGAGCTTTGTACATATTGAAATTTAAAGTTTAAATGGCTTATTTTGACTGGGTTGAAAAAAAAAGAAAATATTAAAGAAAACTAATCATTTGGAGTTCTGCCTACAGTATGTACTGAGACACTATTGTTTACACTCAGTCAAAACACAAAGACAAAGCTTGACAGAGGCTACCACCACCCACATTCAACTGGGCTATCAACACAGTGATATACAGCAATACCTTTAATAACAAAATCGTAAAATGAACTCCACAATCTTTCATATCTGCATTGGGAGCCTCTAGTGGCTAAAATAGGTAATTGCAGCCCCGGTTTCCAGTTTTACCGGGGAAATCCACTGCATACTGTACATTAAAAAGGAAGTCCATTTAGAGTAATGTCTGTTTTTCTTAATACATCCTAGTCTGTCTTGCAAATGTGTTTGGGCCAAGTAATCAAAATCCAGGTATTGACAAAGTCAATCCAAACGATTTCTTCAATCTCTGTTATACAATGAAAGAGAACCTTTAGGACTGAAAAGATGAAGCACTTCTTTATCCAGAGAACTCTGGGTGACAGAAATAAATTAGCCAGTCATCCAATGTTGAAACTGAATTAATTCAAAAATAATTTACTGATCGATCAGAATTGATAAGCAGCTAACAAACAAATGAACAATAGGGTGCAAATATTATTCTCTCCTTTCTTCAAGTTCAAGTTCAAGTTTATTGTCATTATATATACAGGTATATGGTATAACGAAATGCTATTTAGCTAGCTCTCGGACATAAGTAGTACAAGAAAAAAACAACAACAACAACAACAATATAATTGTATAATAAAAGATAGACAGAGACAACAGGCAGTGTGCAAAAAACAACAACAGACGATGTGCAAAAACAGCAACAGGCAATGTGCCAAACAACAAAAAGGTAACGGGTTATGTGCAAAAATATGCATCAACAAAATGAAATAAAGGGATAGAAATTATGGGGAGTGATTTTTTGACATGAATGGTAGAGGTAGGTTTTCAATGTGTGTTTGGGTTTTTGGTAAGAAAGAAAGGAAGAAGGCACTGTGAGGTTCAGATAATAGGTGAGAGGTGAGGTGAGAGTAAGAGAGGCTGGGAGTTTAAAAGTTTGATAGCACGGGGGTAAAAACTGTCTCTGAGTCTGGTAGTCCGGGCCCGAATGCTCCGGTACTGTTTTCCAGATGGTAGCAAATCATAAAGTCTGTAGCTGGGGTGTGTGGGGTCTTTGATGATGCTTAGAGCTTTCCTCAAGCACCGTCTGTCATAAACATCTTGGATAGATGGGAGGGCAACCCCAGTGATGGACTGGGCAGTTCTTCCTTATATTCTCAGCATATATATTGAAACGGATTCAGGTTCTCTGGGCATGTGCCCTCGCCGCTCCTACCTCAGGTCAGCCCTCCACCACTGGGGCTCGAACCCGAGTCTCCAGCATCACACAACAGGGAACTTGCCGGCTGAGCTAAAGGAGAACACTCTCAGGCTGGGCAGCCAAGTTCCCTGTTATGCACAGGGGCTTTTTCGTTACAATACCAACTTCATACGCCATTGGAAATTAAATATGAAGTCAGTTCCCTGATACTGAGCGCTACAAAAAAACTTTGTAAATGTGTGGGAAGACATATTGTTAGCAGTCAGTAACTGAATCATAATATAAATTTGGAAGCACAACACTGCATTCTGTAGTATATTAAAATACAAAAATAATGTTTATTTACTCAGAATAAACAGAACACTATAACTGAATGTTTCATAGTAAATTAAATCACTGCGCTGTTAGAAAATAAAGCCCTCATTATATCACAATTAATGTACTGGATTATGCTTTATTTTGCTGCACTTGTCAAATGCATCATTGTGCATTCCTAACAAAGATTTACATTAGGTTTACATATTTAATATTCAGCTGGCACCTGTTCTATTCTAGACATAGGATCAGTCTGGGCAAATGGATGAGGGGTGAATGAGCATCAGATCCCTCTATACCCTTGATGGACAATCGTGTCCTTTCAAAAGAACATCCCTGAACTTGTTTTCTTCCTTGACCTAAGTAAGCTGATACATAAAACACATACACTATATTGCAATCTTACTGAATTGGTGTCTTGATTTCCAAAACAGGGCATTACCTAAACAAATTACTACATGATAGACAGACATTACTGAGAATTGCTAAATAGAATTCTAATTCTACTTTTTGTGTATATAAGGTTAACATTAGCATCCATGGACTACAGCTTCATCTTTATTAAGGCTTATAAGTCCAACATAGTTAACTCTGACCAGTGAAATGGGAAAATATACACATCTTATAAGAGACACTTGGGTATGGTATCTTGTAAGCGTACAAAACATAGAAACTGCTTGCTCTTAAAATCAAATATAGCTCAAAAAGGTGTTTCTTCAGACCAACAGGTGAAAACATCAGCTGCGTTCAGATACACAGTACCTACAAAAAACACTTCCACCCACAAAAATAATACAGGCACGAATATGTGCTGCCATGTCAAGGACAAACAAATTAATATCATACTCATTGCTCTTGTTGAACAAGTTACAGAGAAGCAAACTACTTACCTGCGCAGTTTGGCAGCAATCACTGACAAAGATGGAGGAGCTATCTGTTCAAAATAAGCAATATGTGGCCTTTTTTGAAGCTAACACAGGAAGCCAATAGAGGAAGCCATTTCAAAGAGGCAGGTACGCTCTCTAAAAGGCAGCAAGACAGGAGCGAAAGGGATCCCTACCTGCAGATGAAATCCTGATCCCGACAAGGTGGAGAAACAAAACTCACACCAGGGCCTTTCTCACACAGTGTGTGTTTGCTGTCCTTAGAGGGTCCTGTCCCAAAGCTAGTCTTTTTGTTGTTCCAACTCACCTAAAATCGCAGTTATGTATTTTCTTCGTGGCTTTGTGGTTATGATGCTCATTTCCCCTCTGAGGGTTCGCTTTTTGCTGTGGCCACGTGACCGCGCACACCCCCGCTTTGACTAAAAAAGAGAGCAGATGCCTTCTGCTTTAGATATGCTTGCATCCTTTTGCAACCTTGCTTTACCCAGATGCCTGCCTGAACAAGCTTTTGTGCCCTCGTACCACATTTGCTCACCATTTTCCAAAAAGAATTGCAAAAAAAATATATATATACCAAAAGACAACATAGGTGTGGAAAAAGAGACAAAGACATGAATATTTCCTCATCCAGGGCTAGATGAGATCAAACTGTTGATCTGCACATCAGTCAGGTATTCCACTTGAATGTTTTCTGTCTGCTAGATGGTCTCAAAAGGCCTCTGGCAAAACAGAAATCAGCAATCAACTACTATGATTTGGATTATTAATTCAATCAATTTAATTATATAATTAAAACAAAGTTTTGATTTGGCTTTGGTATACTGTAACTTGCCATTTAAATTTAAAGAAAATCAGAGCAAAATGGGCAAAGCGTCTCAAAGCATCCAGTGTGGAGTTAAAGAATTTAAGATTAGACTTTTGTAACCTTGCACCTTGCAGTCTCATTGTGTTTTGGTGAGAATAGGCTCTGTCTTTGTTTCAGCACTGAAAGTCTCACACTTTCCACCTGTTACTCTATATGTAACTATGTGTGCTGTGGAGAGTGGGCACAACAACCTGTCTCTTCTCCACATATTTCCTGAAGAATGGTTTTCACATGTCTGTTAAAGCACTAATTTTGACTATAATACTAAGTTGGTGCTGCAGCCATTAAGCAAAGGAAGTGCCATCAACAGAGGATAACCAGACATAAAAAAATGCACTTGAGTTTCAACTTAGAAGATACAATGCAAATGACACATAATTCTCATTTGAAAAACATAGGCATTAGTCATTACATTTAAAAATATACATTAGTGGGGGTATCTGGGTGGTAAGCAGAATATTACAAAGAAATATGTCCAGAACAAGTCTGGAAAAGTCATGACTGGTTTGGAAGAGCAGTGACTTTTAAAGCATAAGAAACTCGAAAAATTACTAATGCCTTACAAAATCAATGCCAAGCCACTGATTAAGGCTATGCCTTTGAAACAGTGAGTGATTAGACAGCTGTCACCTGCATTGTTTCTTGCTACCCATTTAAAATTACTAGCAGACTTCTACAGGAGTGATTAAGGAAGTATAGTATAGAGACTCAAGACACTTTTCTGCATGGATACATATTCCAAGTATCCTTTTACAAAATCTCCTAATAGTGGCTACAGTAGTTAATGGCAGCATAACAATAAGAAAATAGGCCTGGTACACACACAGAGCCCATGAAACATGTTTATTGAGCACAGCCACTGGAAAAATGTCTTATTCTTAGAATCTGACATCCACAATCTACAGTATATATATAAGAAAATCTCAGGAGAGGGCTTGTTGTTTGGCATGGTTTTGCTTGACTTTTATTGGCTTTTTCATACCCAGTGTTCACTATCAAAATGATGCACTCTTTTTGAAAGCAGAACAAGGAAAATATACTAAAACACAAAGCAAACAAATAATAATTGTTAAATAAACAATTAAAAAGAATAATTTAAGAATAAAATAACTTATTTTTATAAAAATCTTTAATTCCTTACAATTTAAATGGCTTTTTTCAAAGTATGTTTTTCCAATACTCAATGTGCTAAATGCTTTTTTAAGTAAATGACTAACATGCTAAAAAGCCACACTGTTTTAGTCACATTCCTGTGACCCTGACAAAAATGATTACAGTTCTGCCTCTCTGTGTTTAGAATAAAATAAACAGATCAAATTAAAAGCATATTTGCATTGATTTTACATATGTTCTTGTGCACAAAAATGATGGTTTTCAGTGAGTTAGTGTCTTTCTCAGAAAAAAACACTGGAGGAAAAGAGCACAAGAGTCACTCCAATCCTGAAGGTGCCAGACAGAACCCAGGAATCAGTAAAGAGTAGCAAATTAAGAATTACAAGCTCAAGGTGTCAAACCCATCAAACCCCAGGCAACTGTGCACTCCATTTCAGGAAATCCTCATCAGAGTCAGCTGATTTCTGGGCTCAAACCAGTGGCAGCTACAGGGCTCTACTGCATTCTAAAAGAGTGCCTTTAGACATTGAATAGCTTGTTATTTATCTTTTTATGTCACAAAAGGATTTACACCCCCATTTTGCAGTATCATTAAACTAATTTCATTGAAGGTGTGTTAGGAAGGTAAGTGCATGCTGTGCATATTCTGATGTGCATATTGTAATACAGAGCAAAAACAATATGCACAAAATGTCCACAGAGAGAAGAATATTTAAAAACATATATATAATAAGTCATAAATGGTTCTTCTAAATCACTATCAATGATCTGTATGATCTTTCCAAACCTACAAAACTGTGCTTGCAAAATGTTTTTTTTTCCCTCGGTGAACGTCAGAAAATTACCTGCAACGTTAAATAGAAAGTCTAAAGAACTGCCTGCAAAAAAAGAAATCGTATTTTCCGGTACTTTTTTCACGGCGATCATCCCTACCACCGGAAATGGCGCGTGGACTTAATGGAGGGGCGACCCTCGTATTTATACGAATATTAGAAAATCGTTCTTTTATTACAAAATTGTTTAATTGTTTCAAACCGTATATTAAATGATAAGGAAACTGATTTTTTTGGTCGAACCTAAAATAATAGTAATTGGTTTATCACGTTGAAATGACGCAGCGGAAGTAGTTCTCTCCCTCTTTCCTCCATTAGGTGAGTGTGGGGTGGCTGTAAGCCGGTTGCTGCTCCTTCACTTATAGTCAAATAAAACTTGTAAAATCATTTGGTGGTGTTCTAAAACGTCCTTATTTCGGTTTATTAAAGCATTATCTTTGTTTTTAATTGCAGATCGCAATCATGGGGCGCCGACCTGCCCGCTGGTGAGTGAAAAGGAGTATGCCACATTAGTGTTGAGAGTTGAGGCGCTTATAAAAATGGCAGCCAGGCTAGGCTTCAGTAGCTGGCCATGTGGATGTCATATAGCGAAATGTTGCTTCATAGATACCTCGCATATAAGGCAGCTTATCCACTGCAGTTCACCCTCATATACGCAAAAAGTTTTTTTTTTTTTGGTGTGACTGAATTTTATTATCTTGTTGAAATTTTGACTTTCTAAATTCCCGGAACGTGTACAACACAGGTTCAGTTTTGCCAAATAATATTTTCTATCAATATTTTAACTTATTTAACTCATGATGGTATCCAATCCAATTTAACATTTGTATACTGTTTATAAGTAGTTTGAATACTTTACCTCTGAAAGGGTTTCTGTAGCGTTGTCGCCTCGGTTTGGAAAATTCAACTTTCCGGTTGTGAATGTATAGAGACCACGCTGGTGACATGGCTTTCTCCTAACCGGTTTTTAAGATAAATATTAGACTATTATTGGAGTTAAATGTACCTCCTATTGGTGTGAAAAGTAAATCACTACTTTGAGGCTACTGCACTGTCAAGATCGATAATGTATGATAATTGGCGTGGTCTTAAAATGACGTTCTAGATGATTTTGATAGAGTGAATGTAATGAACATGTTACATGATTATCAAAAGTGACCCGAGGCCGGTTTTTATTTCATTACTTTGGTATATATCAATTAAGAAGTCTCATCACATTGCAAAAAAAGAACTAGAACGAGAGTTTAATTATCGGTTTTACCTGGTCATTTTGTTTCGTTTTGTCCAGGATTGGAATTTGTAGCAATATACATACAACGTTTTCAAAAGGATTAAATTACTTAATTATGCGTCATTAAGATTTTACTTAAGTTTGTGCATGGTGCTATGGGTGCAGTCATTCTAGAAAAGGGTAAAATAAATATTTTCTTTAAATATGCATTAAAATCTTTGTAGCACATTGGGAAAGCTGACTTAGTAACTAAGTTTGTAGCACTTAATGATTGCAGTATTTCCCTGTACATTGCACATTGTCTCTTTCTCAGTAGTCTGTAACCCTGGTCCTGGAGAGCCATAATGTAGTTAGTCTGTCAACCCAAATAACGTTATTGTGTTCCATAGAACTTGAAATTTTTCTTTTCTGTGTTCCAAATTTTGTCAACTTAACATCATTTGTGTAATTGTTCTAGGTCTTTAGAAACTACAAATTGATTTATTGGTTGCTAGTAAAATTAAATCTGGAACGATGCTCTTCAGGACCAGGGTTTGATACCCCTGTTCTATTGGACAGGAACAGTTGATCAGGATTGATTTAATATGATCTTTGATTGGCCTTTTGTGTCTGCAGGTTTTCTAGGGCTCTTTAAAGTAGCAGCACCTGAGAGATGTAGAGCAATCTATTTAAATGGTTCTGTTATATACCCCCCTTGCTCCTACGTCTTTAAAGGTGCTATGTAAAATAGTTTATTATCATCATCATCAAGGCTGTAACTAGCTGATTAATTAAGAGCTCAATTGAATGGAAAGCCTACAGATACACTGGATCTGTTGGACAAGTATTGCACATCCCAGTTTTACATTGTTTATTATATAATGGTGATTTTATCGTGTGTTTAATGTTGAAATATTTTCTTTCAGTTACAGATACTGTAAGAACAAGCCTTACCCCAAGTCTCGGTTCTGTAGGGGTGTGCCTGGTGAGTTTTTGTTAAGCTATGAGTTTTTTCGGTTTCACGTGTTTAAATGTCCTCCTTTGAACTGTGTTCATTTATATGAATAATACAATACATGTTGTGTAAAGCGCACCTCACAACATTGGAGGTTGATTATTCAGAGGACACCCATTAGTTGTCCTTTTTTAAACCTGAGATTTAACCTTTAATTGCAGTTTGACAAATATTTTGCTTTACATGTTTAGTAGTTACATCACATAACCGATTTTAACCACACTGTGTGAAGTCTAGAAAAATTCAAGTACTGATTCATTCGAGCTTTTAAAAATGAATTAGTCTGCTTGAGCTACAAGCGTAAGATGCTTGATACAGGGATCTAGATTAAATGAAGTTAAGCTTGCGCACCAAACTTTTTAATGCATTCAGAAGACATTAAAGCAAGTATTTTTCAAGACATGCACAAAATGTGAGTTTCTCATCTGAAAGTATTTCAAAGCCTTTGGAAAAGCATTGAACGAGTGTGATTTTCATTTCTCTTTGATTTCTAGACCCCAAGATCCGGATCTTCGACTTGGGCAGAAAGAAGGCTAAGGTGGACGAGTTCCCCCTGTGCGGCCACATGGTGTCTGACGAGTATGAGCAGCTCTCTTCTGAAGGTGAGGTCAGATCTGGAGAAAGAGCTTGACGCCTTGTTCACTAACAGTGTATTTTAGTTGTTCCACCAGAATGGGGTTGTGATCTTCATGCAGTAGCCTTGTGTAGTTGACGCAGGACAGGTTAGTAAAGTGGATACACAGTTGATCCAGTATATGCGCAGAAATAAACTTGTATATTAGAAATGCCAGGATTTAATGCTTTTGAATTCACTTAGTGCCGTAACAGAATGCACCCCTAGCTTTTGGCTCTTGGAACATCTTCCCTTCATTCGGACTGAGAGTGAGACTCGAAAGATTTTTTTGGAAACTGTCATATTCCTTTCTTTTCCTCAGCCCTGGAAGCTGCCCGTATCTGTGCCAACAAGTACATGGTGAAGACCTGCGGCAAGGATGGCTTCCACATCCGAGTCAGACTGCACCCCTTCCACGTCATCCGCATCAACAAAATGTTGTCCTGTGCTGGAGCTGATAGGTCAGTCTCAGGCTCTGACTATTATCGCCTTGCAGTGGTCAAGAACAGCAGGACCTGGAGTATTGGGGAAACTAAAAGCTACTTAGTTTCTAAGTCTCTGCCTCTAATAAGTAATTTAACTATTTTCAAAATAGATTGTGTTAAAAGACATTTTTAGCTAACAGGAATGCCATTTTATATTCATTAATCATAAATGTTAAGGGTGTGGTTTTGGCCTTTTTTAAAAAAAATTTGAGGAAAGTGGTAATAAGGAGTTTATTTCAAATTGACACCGGAATTAAATTCTGTTTTAAATTTAAGATTTGATGGCACCTTCAAGTTCGGGCTCTTGCATATTTAAGGATGAAACTGCAGCTTATTAAGCCGACCAGTCTGGTTGCAGTCTAGAGCTGGTGTGCAATGGCTGCAGACAGTGACTTCTCTGGTTGTGTATGTGCTCAGCTGTGCAGTACTGGGTGCTCTAAGGGACCTCTGAGACACTCATTCTAACCGTTGTATAAACCCTTTGTCCTGTTCATTTTCGGGACAGAATCTGAATTGATAAAGGGTGGGTTTGGGGTTCTAGTTCATTTAGCAACCATATCAGAAGTTGTACAGTCTAGATTGGTTTAATCTTTACGGCAAGTATAAAGCAGTAAATATATGAGATGCCAATCATTTTAGTAACTTGGCCCAAACCATCGGCCAAACAAAAGGCTTCTTAATAGTTTTCAAGCTGAAATGTTGGATGTACAGCTAAGCTTTTCCAGTCCTTGCAAATCCAGTAGTTATGACTAAAGGACTTCTATAGTTTGAAAATTGCATGAATTCCTCAGTCAGGTTCTATATGGATATAGAATTTTTAATGACTTCACTACATGATGGGCTAATAGTTCACAAGTTTGGCTTGTAGCCTCTACTAGTTACAGTATCTTTCCTTCCTGAGCATTCTGATTAGTCGAATCGTTATTTTCTTTATTAGCTTGATAAATCTTGAAACCCCAACCCTTAACCAAAGGCAAATGAACTCATGGTTCTGAGGGATCTGGAGTTTTACGTGCTCTGCTGTGAGGAGGTGTGCTATATAAATCGATCTTTCTCCTGTCCCTCAGGCTCCAGACTGGAATGCGAGGTGCCTTTGGAAAACCCCAAGGCACTGTGGCTCGAGTGCATATTGGCCAGGTGATCATGTCCGTCCGCACCAAGACCCAGAACAAGGAGCATATCATCGAAGCCCTGCGTCGGGCCAAGTTCAAGTTCCCAGGGCGCCAGAAGGTAACATGGCCTGCCTAAACTGGAGCCTTTATACTTCTAGTTCTTCGTACACAACTTGGAGTAATTTTCATCACCTTTCAGTGCATTCCAGTTGGAAGTAATTAAAGTGAATAACCAACATCTAAATTTGCAGCTTATTAAGCCGACCAGTCTGGTTGCAGTCTAGAGCTGGTGTGCAATGGCTGCAGACAGTGACTTCTCTGGTTGTGTATGTGCTCAGCTGTGCAGTGCTGGGTGCTCTAAGGGACCTCTGAGACACTGCAGTTTTAAGTCAGACTGGAAATTACCGCAAGAACAGGTTAAGGCAACATTGTTCCGGTGGTTTCCACCATCTCTTAACTGTTTGCTTTAATGAAAACATGTGGTTTCTGTTTAATTATTGCACTTGGGGTTGCAATATGTAGCTTATTATAAACTCATCAACTCTCGAGGAAACAGTTTTGAGTAGAAAAAGTCTGAAAAAGTTTTTTTATAGGTGTAAAAAATGTTGACTTTGGCTTATTATAATTGATTAAAGTTGTACACTTTGTGATTTTGGGCTTTTCCCTCAAGTGAGCCAGAGTGTTTCATATTAATACCACAACTTAGGTAGGGCCCTACACATTACACTTTTGTAATCCTGGTTTTTCATCATTTTGTGGTTTTAGGATACACCATGTATGCTAATTTTTAAATAGTTCAGTTTGATGTAGTTGTTTCCCAAATTAACCTGAACCTCACTCTTCACTTCATCAGATCCACATCTCCAAGAAGTATGGCTTCACCAAGTTCAACGCCACTGACTTTGATGACATGATTCAGGAGAAGAGGCTGATCCCTGATGGCTGTGGGGTGAAATACATCCCCAGCCGTGGGCCCCTGGACCGCTGGCGTGCCTTGCATGCTGTCTAAACCAATTGCAGTCTCTGTGTTTCTACAAACAGACCAATAAACACTTTGAAGGTGATCAGAGACTCTTGACCTTTCATTTAGATATTTGGCCTTTTTTTGTCATCTTATTTCCAGTTCATGAAAGCATAATACCCCCACCATTGTAACTTGATTACTTGTAGGGATTTGAGCCATAAGAGCTTGTTCCTCGGTTTTTATTCCAATCTAGTTTTCAAATGCCTAATTGTACCAAATGATAGTTAACTAGTAATTGATTATCTGAATATTATGTATACCAGTTAAGTATAAGGTGGTGAATATAGGCTCTCTGGAAGCGGGATAGGAGATCACAACTGGTCTTCAAATTGAGGGATAAACCTTTTCATTTATAAGATGAAGAGCTTGCTGCTATGAAGTGGACTCAGGAACTTGAGGATCTTGGTTTTGGGATGAGGCGCTGTCTAGAAACTGCAAGTGGCGAAAAGGTAGTTAAGCTGACTCGAGAGGAATACAATTTTTTTAAAATGTTTACAGTATGTTGAAAGGATTGTCATTTTACAGGTTTTGTTTCCATCATATAAATAGAACTTGCCTATGAGATTCGTTCATTCTCCAAAGTTGTTAATGCAATCAAAGTATTTAGTAGTGTTATGTATCCAAAGACACTGTCCACTTTAGCATCTACAAATATTTTTTAATAGATCCTTGTCATTTGTAGGTTTTGCAGTAACTTGAGATCAAAATGCTTTAATGCATATTTTATTAAAGAGACCAAATCATTTTTGTACCTACAACAGAAGTCAAACTAACAGCTGAACTGCCCAAATTAAATCAAAACTGATGTGGTTTGACAAAGGTTTCCTGATTCTAATCGGTGGAAAGCAGACATCAATATTTTAGTCTGCGAATGACCTGTGAACCACAATTCTTAGTTCAAGCAAAAGAGAACTTGGAGTAGTTTGGAGATCATTTTTCCAAGAGTTTAAGAATCTTGAAGAGTTTATGATTGATGACTTCATACTGTGGGGTGATCCCTGTCTGGAACTCGCAGCTATTCTAGAGTAGGATGTGATCTTTTGACAATATTCTGTTCAGTAAAAGCTGAATCAGACTTCAGACTTCAACCTGAAGACCAACATCATTTTCTTTGGTGCTGGACGTTAGAGTTCATCCAGGATGACACCTGAAGGTCAGAGTTCATGGCGATGCAGATATCTGGAGTTAGGTTTCAAGTTGACCTCCACAGGATAGTGGTCACTTACTTCCAGTGCCTAAAGTAGTCCCCGTAAGAAAGCACATTCAAGATTTAATATGCAGTATGGTATGGCTGGAGTAAAAATTGCATTGGTGGCTAAACTAATCACCCTCTAGAGCACTAGCTATTGTATACTGAATTCCAATATTAAGGTGTTCATAATTTGGACATTAGTATTTCCAAGCTTCTAGTTCATTCAACCGCTTAGGAACATTATATTGAATGGGACTTCCGATCCAGAGGTCACTGGTTCAAATCTCAGGTATGTCATTAGTTAATTTTGATTAGTATTTCACAAACAACTAAGGAAACACTGCTGGGGTTGGGAGTAATTCCTGCAGTAGTCACTATGGCTATCCTTGGCTCTACTGTGAGCGCTATGGGCTAACTGTTGCAGTGCCTACATCTAAAACAGGATTAGTTTTGAAAACTATCCCCTATTATTTAACTGAATCAGAGCAATTTGGTTTTCTTCAGTGTTGTCCCTCTCACCTGTTTCTCAGAGAGATGGAATTCCTTCTTGAAGTTAAATGGTCGAGCTGATTTTGGAACAATCCCATTGAGGAATTCTGTGCCGTGTACCACAATCCTAGAGGAAATGACAACAGAGGTTGAATTGAAAAAAAAGTATATTTTACTAAATGTACTATTTTTTTACTGGTTATTTCACATTATGAATTCAAAAAGGATGAAAGAAAGACAACGGCAAAACATTTTAATCGCGAGGTGTGTGATTTGTCATCTTGTCACATGTTTGTGAGAAGAGTGATTCTTCTCTGTCTGTCCTTCACAGACAGCACTGGATCTGGGACTGCACTTACATGACAGTAAACTAATTTTGGTAAGAATTCAAAAAACAGTATTTGAGAAAGATTATTGGCCAATTTGAAGCTAATATACAGTATAGTAGGAACCAGCACTACAAGAGAGCATATTACTACCAGCATGTTAACACCAGATTTACTTACAAGGCCAGTATTTGACAATTGGTATAATTGCAATGTTTTGCAAACCTATTCTGAGCTCCTGATACCAGTCCAAATGTATTCACCTAGCTTTATGTATTTAATTGCTACCCAATGTGTTTTAAATCAAGAATGTCAGGATGCCGATCTTGCTGGTGTTCACTGGTGTTATTCAATTGTTCCTGTGTCCCTGTGTGTTCTGAAATTGACAGGCATCCTGTCCCATTTTACTTACAGCTTACACTTAAGGTATAGTCTCCAGGTCACAGCATCCCTTACAGGGAAGAAGAAGCTTTTGATCATGGATGGATGCTTTTGCATCCAAAACCTCGACTGGAAAAGTATGGGTACAGGACATATGTGGGGCCCACCTTCAGAGACGATTCTGACCAGAATAGACCTGACCTGAATAGATCCCAGGAACCAAGAGTGATGCATCAGCAACTATAATGACCATCCCGCTGTGCGACCAGAATACAGCATGATTTGCCTGCCTGTCCAATCTTAACCTGTACAGCTCAAATTCAATTCAATTCAATTTATTTTTATATAGTGCCTTTCACAACAAGGTTGCCCCAAGGGACATGGAAGAGTATAATCTGACCTTTTATTTTGTTTCATAGTCTTTGCTCATGTCAAGTATTGGCCCTGGAGTCTCTAACTGGGGAAGACACAATAACAAAAGCGGAGCGATCAAGGAGAGGAAGTGGGTATTTGAATTGAGCTACTAACTTGTCTTTCAGATGTGGGAAGATTCAGAAGTACCTGGAGAAAATCAGTGTGAACCTTAAGTGGCATTTAAAAGGCCTGACAATTTATGCTGGGTAAATACACAGGCCAGACACATGGATTAAACAGAAAGTGCAATACGGAAACCTGTCATAAGCACAGTGAGTTTTCTCGCTCACAGTTGTGTCCTCCTCATCTCCAATCAGCCAGTGGAAATCTGGGTTTTTCCGCAGACTGATGGTGTCCCAGCACTTTGCAGATACATAGCTGCAGGCTGCATTGAGATCTCCAAGGAACATGACATTCTTCAAGAAAAAAGAACAATCAAGGAAATGAGAGTAAAGAGCTAGAAAAAATGTATACTGTTGACAATTAAAACAAAAACTGCTGGACTGAAACTGAAGGCCTGCAGGCCTGATCTGGTCAACTGCCAGGGGCTCAGCACAGCAGGCTGTACTTATAATGGCAGATGGAAGATGTACTGTATACTGAAAACAAATTTCCCCCAGGGGATAATACAGCTTGAATCAAATTGAAGTAAATTGACCAGTAGGTGGCATACCCTCTACTTCTGCTAGGGCAGTGATTCTCAGACTTGGAATAGCATACTCCTGTGTCTGCAGATGTTTGCTTCTTTGCAGTTCTAATTCACTTGCTAATTTTTAAATTAAAAATATATATATACCTCTGATCCTAAGATTTGTAATTACTATGAGCCATCTGCTTGTTACTGAATTTCAAGAGTGCCCTCATTCAGCTGTAATCCTGAAATATATATTGGACTCAGGCAGAAACACTGACTCACAGGGGGGCTGTATTATACACTGCCATGCTCACCTGTGTCTCTTCCTCATCTATTGGCCACCTATTAAGAGCTATTTAGCCAGAAATAAGGGAACAATTGCTTGATACACAAGTTCAGGGGAGGATATTTAAAGTTGTGCATGTTGAAACAGTTGGAAACTATGTCATTTTTTTCAAATCAAAGACTGAGTGCAGAAAAAGTCTAAATCGGCAAGCAGATCAGTTACAGACACCAATCAGCACTGCTCGTTAAGGGTCTAGCTGGAACATAAGCAGCCCCAGGACCAGGACTGAGGACCACTGTGCTAGAGGCCAGACACCAGACACTGTTAAAGCCAATACCCTGGCTTCGCTCAGAAAAAGGCTGGATGAGATCCTTGTGTCAATTAAGCATTAACATCCAAAGGGCTAGATTGACATATCCGTAGGGTCAAGAACATGGAAAAAATCGGGTGTCAACAAAGCACTCAAGCCTTCCAGGTTCGCATTCCCGATACACTGAATTACTTTATCATAAAATCAAAGTTGGCTCTGAAACTCTCCTCCCTTGCCTTGCCTTCTACAGTTTTTTTGATCAATTGAATGCGTTCATAATTCTCGGTGTAAAACTGTCTGGTGAAGCCCTCACGCTGACCTTATTTCAAGTTAACTAAAAGGGTCAATCTATTTATTCCTTTTTAAATTTTTATTTTTATTATTTCATGCTAACATTTCATTCAATTTACTATTTGTGAGCTCAGCTGCAGAAAATTGACGTTTTCTTTCTAAATATCTGAAACCCTCCACAAGCAGATTTGGAGATACTTGTTCTAGGGGGAAAGATACAATAAGAGCTTATTTTCGAAGCTTGTGTGACATTTCACATCATTGCAGTCATCAATGACTGGTTCTTTATGAAGGGGGTCTGACCCTTGTTCTCCAGTGCTTCTTGATCCCTTGGAAGACCTGGAAGAGCTCATCGATCTCTTGCATGGCTGTCTTCGGGCAGGTATGATGGCCCACAAGAACGAAATCCTTCACCGCTGCAAGTGAATGAAAAAAAATATTGGAGGAAAACTCACAGTTGATTCATTCAGCTGTATACATCTGTCACTTTCATCCAGTTCCTGATGACACCTAGACTACTGAAGCCTGAAATGACTAGAACAGGGAATGAGAAAACAGAAATGTCACAAACAGGTAACATCACAGGATGGATGAGTGAAAAGCTTTGATCATAAAAGAGTAAATTATGCTTTGAAAAAAATGCCTATCAAACTCATTTCCTGGAGCACCAAAGGCTCTTTCGGTTTTCCCATCAATTCTCTATTAAAATAACAAGAGATTATTTAGTTTACCTAACTAAACCATTACATTCTAGGTTTTTGTTTTAAACATACTTTTTATTTTTTAAAGGGGTGGAGATTTTAAATTGTGTTAAACTTTTTTGTAAGTGACCTGAATTCTCCAATTAATGAGCTGGAAAGAATTTACAAAGGTCAATTAAAGAGTGTGGTAACAGGCATGTCATCACCATCTCAGATACTCCCTCTGAGTAATGAAGACATTATGGTAACAAATTATGTTGAGCAGATAATGATTACTGACATCCTGAAATGTATTATTCATACTGACATAATAGCCTTTTCATTTAGAGCACGTCAAGGGAAGTAGTAGTACATATAATCCTTTTGGCTTTGGGTGTAGAAAAACGTCAATACTATGCATCCAGCTTCCTGGATTCCATTCCAATAATTCTGTTATTAATGGAGTTCATGAGGAATGACAGCAGCCGAAGACTGAGAGAAGGTAGAACTGTTTATTGAGATGCGAAGACTTGGCTTAACCCGCTTGGCTGAGGGCCAACCCCCCCCGGCCATTAGACGGGGAGGGTAGGACCCCCATGTGACCAATTGGGCAGCTGCAAAGGTGGAGAAGAGGGGTGCACAAAATGAGCGAGGAAGAAGAGAGGGTGATGTTTGGTACATATGGAGTCTGAGTGCATAAGTCAGAATTACTTAGAGTTTGCAGCAGCTGGGTTTAATGAGCTTGGCTGCCTTCATTCCTCCCGAACTTTCATTAAATTTGACCCAGCTGTAACAGGTGGCTATCACATTTCAATGTCACAACATCTATGACAAACTAGAGCTGCTGGTTTCTACCAATCTGGAATCATCTTCCAAGGATCATCACCCATGATGATGCCTTTTTCCAAGGTGATTTACCGTTAGTACTGTAATTGCATTTAATGCAATAGAACTTGGGAAGCTCCCTTTTCCTGTGAAACATACATTCATGTAACATAATGCAATATGTTACATTAGGTTTTGATTCACTTGGTAATACACACAATAGATACTACATCACAGATAATAACAGATAATTAGAGCTGGTAAGGTGTAGACAACCAAAATACAAAGCAGATTATCTCTGTAGCTTTTAATCTTGAGAGTGCAGAGCTCTACATATCATACAGCAAACTTCTCCCCATCTGTCAAACTCACCAGTTTGGGGGCAGTGGAAACGCACTATAAAAGGCTCCCTTGAAAACACATCAGCCTTCTCTTTCTGTGAGGTGGGATACTGATATTGATCTCGAACCTGCAACACATCATCCCTGAGACAAAGAAACAGACTGAAGTAATGTGCACAGTCATAAAATAAAGTCACTATTATTTTCAGGATAACCTTGATATATAACATCCTTAAATTATTTTACTACACAAATCTTGTCAAACAACAGGCATTATAATAACAAAAAGCAGGGAGAAGTGTGGTCAGACTAAATTGATTGCAATAATTCAGAAGAAGAGAAGGAAGATACATTTACCTGAATATGTAAACATATTGCTCCTTGTAGCTTTTCTTCCCCACTCTGTCACTTTCGACAAAGGCATATGAATGGACTTCATCAAACCTGATTTATACATCAGAAAAGCAAATAATTCCACTTGTAATTATTCATAACAACTCACAGAAGAGGAGCAGAAGAGCAAAAGAGTGGCAGTATTAAAAATAAATCTCATTATTATATATTAGTGTTCGTGCACAGGTCGAGGTTATATTGTTATTTTTGTTCTACTTGTTATGTCTTAAAACTAAAACCACTTCCACAAAAATAACTTAACAATTCCCATGTATTGAGTTATATACAAATGTATTTTTCCAGAACTCTCTTACCGTGTCAAAACTCTGAAAGGATGATACTTGGCCAAAGAACAAACCAGGAACACCACTGGTCAAGTACCTTTTGCCTGCGTACCTGTTAAGCTCTTTTACTAGTGCAGGGATAACTTTCCCCTTCGAGTCACGCACTTCCTGTATCAGACACACATCACAGCGCGTGATGATCTGCACAAACGAAATTACAAAGTAAGGGGGAGCTCAGCTATAAACATAAAGAGATTCTGGCGTATACATTTCAAAGAAAACCACAAACAAACAGAGAAACAAGCAAGCAATCAAACAATGGAAAATTTCTGATATTATTGCATACATGTCCTACATTTCTTGTGGCATCTCTATAGAACCTTGCTTTAATCTGTTATACCTGGAATACAATACTTAAACTGTGCTCTAAACCATTTTCCAATGTTAAAATCCACCATGATTATTCTGATTACATCAAACCCGGCAAGTCAGTTACAACACTGTCAGTGACGGCACCTTGACCAAAATGTCCATGACGTTCTTGTTGCTGGCCTTCGTCTCTCCAAAGCTCCTGATGTTGAAAGCACAGATTTTAAAAGGCAGGGCTATCCGCCAGAGACACAGGAATGCAATGAGGACGGCAGCCTTCATGGTGTACTTTCGGATGGCTGCGAGGTCTGTACTGTAGGGCACTGTTTAGGTTCCACCGATTTCCTAAAGAGCAATAAGTAACCTCACATGAACATTTGACAGCTGTCGGCATAAAAACAAAAAGGAGAATTACATGTAAGAAAAACAAGGTGGCCTAAATGAATCAAATTATTTCATGTCATTTTTTATTGAGATTTTGTTTAGTCTTTATTTCCATATTTTGCCATTGTTGGACATAAAATGTCTGGGACTACATGACTTGAGTTTCCTCTTACATAAGACGTTTTAAGGCAACTACAAAACTCGTGACTTTGATGTTAGCAACTCTTCTTCTAAGATATTTTCTTTTATTTGGAAATACAAGTCTTAAACTATTCTCTCAAGTTTCATGAAGTAAGGAACACAAGTTCCCAGGTCACAACTGCAGTGCAGTTTACTTTTGACAGTAGTTAACCTGCAGTTTCTCCTTCTCTCTCACACATACACATGTATATTTTACACATTGTTTTGCCTTTAGAGAACAGATAGTCGAGAATAAAAATTGTTGTTGTTGATTTAATGAAAAAAACATGCTTTCGGTTTATTTATAGTTTTCTATCTGAAATACATAGATAATTAATTAGACTAGAAAATATGCACAAAATTTGTTCATTGTAAAGAAATCTTTCAGTACAAGACAGGAATTAAAACTCTCATACTAGACTATAGTCTGTTGAGAAAATGACAATGACAAAAACAAAACAAAAAATTAAGACATCTGATGAAAAACTATTTAAAAAAGAATTGATTTATCACTTATAGTTTAGAGATAACTCAGCATTAGGTTACTGTACATAAAGGGAAAATGTTTCATTCCGCTAAAAATGCTACCATACAAAAAGTTTTAGATTTCCTCCATTATTGTAGCCTTAAAAGTAGACTCTTTATCTATGTCAATAATTACTAAACACACCGGAAAAAGAAAAATGTATAGTGACACTTACTGTCAGAGTTCAGACATCGGGAATGTCTATCTTTCCATTCCTGTTGGTCTTGACCCATATTTTAAATTAAGGGCCCATGAGCTGAGTTCTCAGTTGAACAATTGGAGCCATGCAGGTGGGCATGGTCGAGTTCTCTTTAAGAGATTTGCTGTGTCAATACCCTGTCAGCAGGCTGCTTTCTCTAGAATGCCAACAGTGTGCTCTGCTCCACAATAGGTGCTGTGTCCATTCAGAAACACTCCAAAAACAATGCCACCCAACCACAGCCCATGGTTCCAACAGCGACTCTCCTGGTATGATTCTCATCACAAACAGCTAACCTGACCATCCTGTGGAGTAAAGAATAGGGTTTGTGCTACATACAAATACTTTAGCATCCAAAGGTGCTCAGAAGGACAATGCACATATTTTATATGTGGGTATCTCTCCCTTTTCTCGTAGCAATGTAAACTTTCTGCATGAGTGGCAAATCAAAACCATCACAACTAGGCCATATAAGTTATCCAAAATATGGTTTGTATCCACTAGCACAAAAAAATAGACTACATATTAAGAAATATGCACTTTGTTTTATATCACATGCATTATAGTTCTTGAATTGGTTTGTGTGCTGTGATGAATGTTCAGGCTGGTTATGATTGTTTCATAACAGTGCATTACTTGCCAGGATTGCTAAAAATAGTTTCTGTAAAATACTGTAGTTCTCGGAAAGATCAGAAGCAAGGCAAGGAATTGAGGAAGTTCATGAGAAAGTATCTTTAATATTTTGTAAGCTGATTTCAAGTGTTGTATTAACATGATTAATTAAAAAAAGAACAAGGAAAGTGTTCAAGGACATTTGCTATTCTAGTTTCTCATAATACTCAGATTTATCCCAGATTTTTTTTTGCTTTTTAAAATGTGGTAGATTCCCCAATTTATTATAGTACAATGAACAAAACAGATCTTTGCTTTTAATTGTAAATTTCTGCTTTTTAAAAAAGTAATAAATGCACACATAGACAAGCAGCTTTTTGCAAATTAAAGTCAATTTTATTCCAATAATAACATTAAAGTCAGTACAAATGTATTTTAGTAAACACTCACAACAGAGCAGGCCTGAATTTATACACAGCTCAAAATCCAGAGCCAATGGTCAGTATTTCAAAGACATTTTAATCAATGAAAACATTTAAAGTAGTGGAAAAAAGCACTAATATCATCCACCCTATGGAAAAACCCTATAAAAACACAAGGAAAAAGGAAAAACACTATGAAACACAAACATCGGGGAAGGATTATTATTGGAAAATCCCCATGAAAAACCCTATGAAACACAAACATCGGGGATGGATTGTTATTGGCTGCTAACCACAAACCTGTGAATGGTTTTGCCACAAACCTGTGAATACATCATTCTGGTGCACTGTGGCTGTTGTCGAATCATCCAGGTGGGGGTGCACATTGGTGGTGGTGGAGGGGAGTCCCCATTACCTGTAAAGCGCTTGAGTGGAGTGTCCAGAAAAGCACTGTACTGTATATGTAAGTGTAAGCAATTGTTATTATTAAGATTAATTCTTGTTTCTAAACCGTTGCTGTTATCTAACAGCAGATTAATAATAAATGTGGACGTACTGTACACATTGAAATTAATTAACAATTATTCTGAGCTCAAAATAATTTTGAAAGTTAGAATTTACATTGCACTGTGTAACATTGCCATCACAGGACTTTTGAGCTAAAAGGATTTAACCGATGACGCGGAAAAGCAACATTTATTTTAATTTCAGTCTGCTCAACATTACTCAAAGTTTGGTAACGGTCATGAAATATTCAGTTCATTTATATACGAGATTACAATTTGAGATATCAAAAAAAGAATTAATATGTTTTCACAATCAGTTTCCCTGATTTCCCACTCTGACCATGGGAATAATGGACATGAAAAGAAGCACTTAATAAATAGCAATAATTGTCATCATTATAAATGCTTATCATTTAGCTTACACGAGAAAAGTACGTGGTTCAGCTTAAATGCCGAGAATGATTGTAAAGAGACTTTTAATAAATGGCCTCTTGTCAGTGCAGCTCAACCATTTTCATGTTGGGGCAGAGACCCGCTGTACAAAAATTCGAATTAAGTGGCATTGTCATTAAATTACATTGTGATAAAAACCTGAAACATAGAAGATGTTCAAGTGTAGAGCTAAGACTCTGCCCTGACAAAAACAAGCAGAAAAATAATACTAGTAACACTCTAGTAAGACTCCAGGTTATACCCCTAGTGTATAATACTGTATGTCACCAATGAGGTGGGGTCTGCCAAAGTTCAATGGGTTGAAACCCTTTGAGGGATGGGGGGTCACTGTAAAAAGGATAAGGCCCTGTCTGCTTTTTATGCTGTATAATGCTTCATTGTAAAAGCAATGAGAATTTGTTGTGCAAAGATAATTCTTAATACATACTACTGTATATGACAAACTGCCCAACCATATTGTGAAGGCTGATAGGCTGAGGTTACACACATTTACACATATTGTGACTCAATGGATAGAAAGAAAAGTGTCCTATGCTTGGGCCTGATTAAGTTAACAATAATTTATGATGAGAAGAGGTATTGCCAATCACATTTATGTGTCGTAAGAAGTTCCTTCCATTTCAGAAAAAAACTTGTCTTCAGACAAAAATACTTGAAGTTGTTTTTACAGTGTAGATCCCAATCAAATTACAGCTCATGTAATGTACATAGAAGCCCTAAATGTTGTCCAGATCTATGCAGTAAGCTCTTGCTGGAAGCTTGTAGATCTTTCTTTCAAGTTCAGTTCTACTGGGTAGTGGTCCCTCACATCCAAGGCCTAAAGAAATGAAGGGACAATTGAAAGTAGACTGTTAAATATGGTGGCAAATCTCTCTATTCTTTTCCTTTATTGCCAGTTCATGTAATGTAGAAAAGGGCAGTATTTGAATAGAATAGTTCCTTTTAGATTTTCTTGACACATTTTAGAAACAGTTGTATTTAAAATCAACAGATGATCTGTACTTTTTGAAGAGTTCAAAGCCTTTATAATAGAGTTATGGGAATTACCTCCTCTGAGCTTAAAGTCCTACTTCATCAAGGTCTGGATTGAAGTGAAAGTTGACCGACTATAAGAAATGGGACTGTCCTTAACAAAAGGTACTGATAGGAGCAGAACTGGTTGTTGGATCTTTACCGGATATGATGTAATAGCCTAAGATTCATTTAGCTCCACAAAGTTTTTTTTTTGTGGTAATGAAAACACTGCAGATTTTCCAAATCAGACCACAGAATCTTTGTAGATCAGAGCCATACTCTTCTGAGCTCAGCAGCTGTAAAATATGCTCACAAAGAGAGAAGGCCTGGACATCAAAGAACCACATTAGATTTGCAATCCACATCCATAAAGGCAAACCAAAGAGTTGCACTGAGGAAAATCTGGGAGTCTTAACTGTTCATCATGGACTCATGACATGATATAACACTGTGCAAATACTGCAATGAGGACGAGGACATGATGGACTTGATTTTCTTTGTACCCAGAAGATGTCGTCTTTATCTCCACTTCGACAGGGTAATGATCACTCACTTCCAGAGCCTGAAATTAAAAGTCAACTTCAATACACAGGATGCTGCACCCAGACTGAAAGAGTTACAGCAGTATCTTTTTATCTAGAATCTCAGACAAGTTAAACAGACTCCAACATATCAGTTCAATTTTCTCAAGTTATAGAGTAGTCCTAAGGTCGTGACTCGGGGTTCTCAAATTTAATTTTTCAAGGGCCTGATTTGTTCTACATTTTGTGTAGTCTGTTTAACATTAACTTACAGTAATTGGTTTATTAGACTTGAAGAAAAAGCGTATAAATTGCAAGCAGATAATGCAAAATATTTATGAAAGGTGCTGTTATTCATAAAACCCCTTGAACACTAGATACTGCAGAAGTATTATAATTATACAGTCAATTAGACCAACTCTGTAACAGAGTGCTTGGGTGGAACAAAATCCAGATGACTGAGGGATGAATTAAAAGAAAATATTGCTGAATCAATTTATAGTTAAGATTGTTGCTTACTAATTTTCTTTTTAAGAACAGATAAGCAATTCTAAGTAAATGCTTTGGGAAATGAGTCATGTTATAATGTGAACAAGCAGGAACAGGAAATCTGCATTGCAAACGTAATACCACAGAATATTTTTAGTAGATTAAAACAGCACACAGACAAAAAAATAAAATAATCATTATCTTTAGAGAATGAATTTCTCACCCTAAAGTTGTAAGTTTCCTTTAATTCCTTTCTCTCACCCTTTCTTTAATAACAACAAATATTCAAATAGTAGCATGAAGTAGCATAATTAGCCCTATACAGTCATCATCAGCCACTCTTACAACTTTATAAGGTTATACACTTATTCTATTTTTAAGAGGCATATAAGGTTATATATAAGGTAATCTGGAGCTGTACTGTGTTATATTCTATCTGTGTGCATACTGTATATGCAGTTTACAGCACAGAATTCAATAATATCTAGTTTTATGAGCTTTCAGATTCTAGTTAAAGCCGAAGTCAGCTGCTGGAAATATTTTTGTGACAACAGCACTTACTGTACATGCTCAGACATGTTCAGACACAGACATGTTCATGAATTCCACCATACTAATTACTGTGCTGATTTAGCTTCATTAAAATAACCTGCAGCTCATGAAAACCTAAGTTGTAACACATCACCTCTGAAATGGAAGTCCCTTTCTTGGCAAAAAAAGAGAAATATGTGGAAACATCAAATTATTTCCTTAGATCTAAAATTGGAGCACAGAAGGATGCTCTATGACTATGGTTTTACTTGGTGTAGTATTAATGGTGTAGTATTTGCAAACTTCACAGATCTTCCGGGAGTCACACACAAGAAATGTCTGTTTTGTGTGGTAACAGGAAGGGCTGCCGCAAGATTGATGTTTTAACACTTTCAAATAGTTTTAAGATCAGTTTTAGAGATTGTAAGGCGGGACGAAATGTAAATCTTTTAGTTTTAGTTTACCTCATCTTCCCTGAGGTGGAACTCCCTGGCAAAGTTGAAAGGCTTGGCAGAGTGTGGAACAATTCCCTGGAAGAAAGAGTCCCCATGCACAACGATCCTGGGGGAAAAAGGTGACAATACCCAGTGATAAACTGGAGCATTTAGCTAAAACAAAATAAAATCAAGGGAGATCTCTGAATCTCGAATGGGGAATAATTAACATCATTAGCATCATATAAATGATGTTATATTTATATGAGATAAGATCATTGTTTTTCTTTCTTATTAAAATGCTCATTCCAGTCCTTTTTTGTCCATGTTCACTGGACTTGATATTATTGCTGGTGTGATCTGATGCAGGACTTGGATTATTCCTCTCGTCAATTTCCTTACCGGTCATATGCACAATCTGTGGTGGCACGCACTGTCGTGTCAGCTTTGTTGTCAATCAGCCAGAAAAAACCTGGCTGTGTGAACAGGCGGATATTCTTCCAGTCTTTTTTAGGAACATATCCACAGGCTGCATTAAAGTCCCCGAGAAACATCACATTCTGCAGAATGGGAGACAGGGAGAGAAAGTCCATGACTGTTTATCTGACCAGCTTGCCAACAGAGTCTAGTAACAGCGTGCCAACATCATTTTGAATTATAATAGAGGCACCACCACAACCAACTCACACACTTCTTACAACATATAAATCCCCACAGCTTGGAGAAGATCCCTCTGCTTAAAACAAATTTATAGGAACCCACTGAGGTTATGGGCAAGGACGTTACTGTTGCAGAGAAAGTTGAGGAAATACTGGGTATTCTAGGTTTGACGTAATTAAAACTTTATAGCCTCATCACACTTGTTGGTACATGCAGGGAAAACATCTTCTCAAGAGCTAATAGATCCATAATTCCTTGTACTCCAAAGCACTAATGACTCAGAAGCACTCATTGTTTGTTGAGCAGAGGAAGCGGAAGACACATCTTGGATCTAAAGAACAAGACCATATTAAAACCCGAAAGATTGGGACCTACTGAACTGTGTACCCCTGGGAATCAGAGGGTCAATATGACTCAGACAAAACTATCAGATCACTGCTGAACGGTGACTGGGTGATACAGTCAACTCTTGACCTTCCCCTGAGCAAGTTACTTAGCCTCCTTGGGCTCATCCTTCAGGAGAGATGAAAGGTCCCATTATAGTGTCACCCAAAAAACTCCCCTGCTCTCCATACATCACTCTGTATTACAGAACATAATGCTGAGTGTGTTTATTATTTATGCAGAACTGGTATATAAAAGTCTGATGACTTTTCAGATTGAAACATAATTCAGATTATGTTTTGGTTACATTTTGGACTTCAATTTTTCAGCGTCATTTTCCATCGGTGTAATCACTATTAATTATGCAATAGGATATCGCTCACTGAGCATGTTTTCCTTCCCGCCACCACATTATTTTTCATTTAATTTAGAAAGAATGCCTGGAGTGATCCTGATAATTCTAATACATTTCTAAACGATAAACGATGACAAAAATCTTTCTTATTCTTAACTTGTGTATAAGCATCTTGAACTTTTCCTCTTCACTGCTGTGTTACAGTGATATTAACTTTCAGAAAGTACAAACTGTGCATTATTAGGCATTTAAATGTTTTGGATTATTAACATCTATAAATGTACACTGTATCCAAAGAGGAGCTTTAATCTTGGATTAAAAATCTGGCCTTTCATTGTGTGTTTAAGTGTGGGAAATTGTGTGCTATTTTCCCACATGTAAAACACAAAATTGGGAACTGACAATCCTATCAGGACTTGGAGGTGAAAAAAAAAAAGATCTAGCATCTTATATTTTCTCACTTTAATTTTCCAGAGACGTTTCACTTCTTGGAAGACGTCATAGAGCTCGTCGATCTCTTTGGTGGCGTTCGCAGGGGCTGTGTGCTGGGGAATGAGGACTATATCTCTCGCCACTGGAAGAAAAGAAGGCTGGCATTCACTCACAAAAGAAACGGTTCGACAGCATTCAGGACCTCCCAGGGAGAAAAAGCACCTTTTAAAAAGTTGGACATTTATGCACTAGGAGTGGTTTGGACAAAAGTAGTTGGACTAATGTTTGGCTTGACATTATAAACAGCAGTAAGAAACTCGCTTTTAAAGAGAGGATTGGGGGTAGCAACCTTCCTTCCATTCCATCACAAGAGTCTAGCCGTTCTTTAATCAACCAGTTTTTAATCATCATATTGATTGCCTACTTTTTCAGTCTTGAATGCAAAGCTCTGCATTATGAACACCTCAATGGCTAAGGAGGCTCAGTTGTTACAAACACATGATTTGTGAAACGTCTGTAATAATTTGTAATGTAATAATAATTTTAAAATGTTATTTTTAATACTTTTTAATCTTTTCCCACCACTATTACTACTTTAATTATCACAGTTTTGTGATCAAAACCAACCAGCCACTTTCAGAAGTTACAGATTGGAATATCAAAAGCACATTTTGATATGGCTCTGTGTTTGCCATTAACTCACTGTACTCTTTAATATCAATTAGTACTTAGCACCAGTAGTAATTGCACATTTCTCTGGCCTCTGTAATAAGCTTGGAACAGAGCATTTGCTAAATCACCAATTTCAAAATTGCACATAGCAATGCAATGCACATACAGTAGCATGCTCATAGATATCTATAAACATGGTTGAACACTGACCAGTTTTTGGAGCCCGAAAATGCACAACAAAAGGTTCCCTGGCAAAAGCGTCGACATCCCCTTTCTGTCTGTCAGGGTACTGGTATTTGTCTTTCACCTCCACTTGATCCGACCTGTGTAGAAAACAGGTTAATAACTGGGGTTGTCAAACTCTCAATTCCTGGAAAGCCAAATCATGATCTGACTTTCATTTGGTCTAGCCAAGCTCTTCATTAAATATTCTGTTTAATTTCTAAATTGGTCCACTTAGTCAGACATTGACTTTTGGAGAGTTGGAAAGTAAGATCCTTCCTAGTCTTCAAAATATTTTAATAGGTTGAATGAAAAGTACCTTTAAAATTTTGCTTTTTCTGGTTTTAAATACTTCAGGTCTCCCCTTTGTATGCCAGATTCCACATGTTTCTGCTAAAGAGAAGATTTTCTCTTTTGGACAGTTTGTGAACAATGTTTGTTTAATATCCACAGCACTTTCCATTGATGAAAAGTATCTGTGTGTTTTTGAGAGACCTTTTGAAAAATGCTCTAGTAAAGGTGTCACTTAAGCCTGCATTGGTGAGAAGCTGTTGATGATTTGAAGAGACCCATAAACCTTACGGAACTACAGTTCACCATGAAGAAAACACTTGGGAGGTCAAGCTAGATATATGATTAGGTGAGTGGATAACTGAGACCTATTGTTTTGAGTTTCAGGGTTCAAGAGAGAAGACAGGGAAGTAATGTGGACTTGCAGTCAAAGATACTTCACCTGTATACAAAGACGTACTGCTCCTGGTATGCTTCTGTTCTTCCAAGACGACCACTTGCAACAAATTCATACTTGTGCTTTTCGTCATATCTAAAGAATAGAAATAGAAAAATGAGCCACTATATAAGAACTAAAAAGTCACAGATAAGACGAGGTCAATCGACCCATCTACTTATTTGGCAGTTAGTAGTGAATTGATCCAAGGACCACATCCAGCCATTCCAGAAAACCTTCCAGGTTATCAGCTTTCACAACAAGACTGGGTATCTTATTCCAAACTCCCACAAACTTCTGTGTAAAAAGTACTTACCGTTTTCCATTATAAATGCCCTTCCGTGTAGTTTCTACCTGATGTGTGTTTCATTTTTGATTCTGAAGTCTATCTGAAGTTTATTGTGTTGAGTTGACTCGCAAAACTTTGATAGTAAGAATTGAACTACACCAGCTAAAATGACTTTTGAAGGACTTTTTAAAGAAGCATTTAAGATCCAATGCAGCAGTCATTGTATCCTGAGCAGGAAGTAAACTAGGACAGGACAATTGTCCTTATTAATTAAAGGACTAATTTGAAATAACCTAGAGTGCAAATTGAATGTTTATTGAATGTTAATTTCATATTTGGTGACTTCGTATTACTTACAGTAATTACTGCAACATAATTTTTAAGTATTGTTTTAAACAAAAACTCAAAAAACAAAATGCACACTGAATTTTTATTTTATTATCTTGGAAATAAATATATCTTAAGGAAACATTGCTTATTTTGTTGGGAATTGCAATATTTCCCTCAGATAGATTTATTTTATTGAATTGATAAAAAAATACAGTTTGTTGCTATGGCATACTCAGGTGATCTAGCACAGACTTTTTTTCAAGTTATGCCCATTATGTTGTGGTTGAGTACACTTTTCTGCCTGGGAAATTCTGTGGACATTTTTCATTTAATTGCTATTCTCCTGCAAAATTAGTTAAATTCCATAATAATTAATGATATGCATGCAATTTCCCCTGAGCTACTTAACTGATTCTGTGGGAGACTGACTGACTGAGACGCTGTGGCAAACTTTCAAGCCTGGTTAAATGCTGTGGAACGACCAGGCAAGCCTACAGCCGCTGCCTCGTCGCTGTGGGCGAGAGCTGTCCGTGCAGAGGAGAGGGTACCTGTTCAGATCTCTTATCAGCTTGGGGACAGCCCGGCCCTTGCTGTCACGCACCTCTTGCAGCAGACACACATCGCAGCGCGACACAATCTGGTGGCAGAAGCAGAAGACAGTGATGAACACACGCCAAGCAAGAATCACAAAAGCATTCCGGGCACTTTTAATTTCTGGCCTTCATATGACACTTTCTGCGCATTGGCAGAAGTATGATCCATGCACTTTACCGCAGTCTCATTTTACGAGTGGTATCCAACAGCTAACCTTCTCCACTCGGTCCTGAACACGGTTCTGCCCTAGCCTCTGGTTTACATCTCAATTAATCCGATTAACGGGGAGACAGCTGAGATGTAACTGCTTATTTATTATTTAAAAATGATTATCACTGCATGTCAATCTCCGCAGAGATGTTTTGCCATAATCAGTAGAAAAGAGCTGGTGGTTTGTCATCTCCCTTATTAGGCAGCAGATAATCCAGCCACAATGGTCTCATACCTGGGAGGTTAAGTTCTAACAGAGCAGTGGCAAGGTCCTACAAACAGGGTGAGTGCATGGCCTAGCACAGTGTGTATCAGTGAAGGGAAGAGGAATTATTGGGTGGTCTTTCAGCTCTGCATCATGCTCCCAGGTCTGGGAACATGAGAACAAGCAGTGAATACTGTAACCATCAACACTGAGAAACCTCAATCATTTTCAACTCTATTGCCCAGCCATATTTTTGAAACTGGTACAATGGTTTCTTTTAAATGGCTGTATAAGATCCTGGGGTCAATTTGCTTCAGAAAAACAAAATGAGCTAGATGGACCAAATGGACTCCTCCTGTTACAGTTCATATGTTATTTTTTCATATGGTACATATGGTTACAATCTTCAGTGTCTCCCAGGAGACTGCTCTTTTCTTGCGCACGTCACGAGACTCACCTTGACCAAACTTAACATCACCTTCTCATTGGAGGACTTGGATTCGCCAAAGCTTTGGACATTGAAAGAACATATTTTAAACGTTGAAGCTGCTTCGAGAAGAAGGAAGCATAGGAGGAACCTGGTTGATTTCATGATGAGAGGCTGTCAGGAGACAAAATGTTACCACATACCTTAACCAGGAGTCCTTTTGTGTTAAAATCCTAAATCACTCCCAGTACAATCACATGCTATTCAGAACCTGTGTTCTTGAAAAAAAAGTGTATAATTTTCATGTCTTTGACATAGGGATTTGATTTGTTTTTACGGTTACTATATAGAACATGTGATAATGTAATTGAAGTTACAGGGGGTAACAGTATGGCCCAGGTAATAACTAGTTTGGGTAACAGGTTGAACTGAAGTGTCTAAACATTGTTGCAAGATTAGACTACACTTAGAAAGTTTCCTTTCTTATTCCTTATACTCTTATTACAAAATAACTCTAATCTTTTATAGAAAAATTCCCAAACACAAAAATTTGAAAAATCCAGATCACGTGAAAGGTAATGTCAAGTTTCAGGTTTTGGTAAAATCCCTGAAACTGCATGGGATAAAAACAAAAAATAAAATTTTGAAAGAAGACAGCCATAACCAATGAAAATAACTCAGTATTTCAGAATACAGCCTTTAATCAAGGGCAGTTAGACACAGAAAGCACAATATAGTCAGCAGTTCAACAAGTTAATCAAATTAAATTTGTCATCTATATTTGGTTCCGTTTTCCTCCCACAGTCCAAAGACATAATGATAGTTTAAGTGGCTTCT